ACAGTTCATCCTCTCTCTATGACTTGAATTAAGATTATAGAATGAGACAATATGAGTTAAAATGAGATAGATGTATATACGGGGAGGAAGTATGTATAATCTTCCTCTCACGTAGGATTTTGTCAAAATCGCTAGTGGCTAGACTCTAATATAAAGTACTAGTACAAAGTAACAATAAAAATAACGGTTATATTCGTTACCGCTATCCAAAAAATGTTATTGCATTACTATTAATAATGTTACAAATAAGGAAATGTAACATATCGAGAAAAGTAATTGTAATGTTAATGACATTATAAGTAATGCGTTATTTCCCACTGAGAAATAATTGTGAAATTAGATGTTGTTTCAACATCGAAATCGTTGATTCGATATCGATTAACGTCAATTCGATGAGTGATTTCTCATTAAGTTTCTAAAAATATAATGCGTTGCGTCGCGATGTACAAAAAGAATTCTAGAACTTTTATATAGTAATATATAGATTTCAATCGCAATCTACGTTTAGAGTTAACAAAAAAGAACACGATTTTATTTATTACATCAAATCGATTTTTAATCTTTCAACCGTGCACCATATACGGATATATAAATAGGAGTGCCTTTAGAAGAAATCTGGATTCCATTAGTTTTGCAGTAGCACTACAGCGTGAGTTTCAAATAAAAGCTAGTATCAATAAAAAAAAATGTTCCAACGTTGATTGGTCGGTCTCACGCATTCGGCATCGATTGCGCCTCCTGCAGACGCGAAGAAGATGGGACATCGGGTTTTTGTTTCGCTCTGACCCAGTTCCAACTTGCATCTCCGAGTCGTCGGAGTGGGCGGACTGGTACACACTGGATTTTAATTTACGCGGAGTGTCAGAGGCACACGGATAATCGAATGGCATTACTACCATGGTTGGCGCAACGTGTAACGCAATAAAGGCAATCGATGAAAGCCCGGTGACCCGAGACCACTGTTGGCCGTCGATTAGTTTAGAATCAGCCGAGATCAGAACCGCATGCAGAATCCATAATGTCGTCGACGAAGAAAGAACGACATTTACAGATTGCTGCTTGATTAACATGAGAACTCTCACAGGTTGGGATATATGGATATAATTAGGAATTTAATCAGATTATAATAGAAATGTACAAAAACAGCTCAAAAAATTTTAATAAATTTTAACAGCGACACGAATATAACTTTAGAACTTTGAATACTAATATTTATACATTAATAGATGTGTTCGTTCCGCATTTCTACAAAGGTTACTAAAATTGATAAGACATACAAAATTGCGTGAAACTTTATTTGCCCTTTACATCTTAATAGAAGATAACAATTTCTTATTCCGAGAGTAATATTTTATTAACGTAGATTCTGCTTCGAGTTAAACTTTCTTCATGCTCGGAAAGCAAAGTATCTAATCTTCTCTAAAGTTAAATACTTATTAACTTTTAAGTAATCAAGTTCTAACGTTTATAGAGTTTCAAATCTGCATTAAAATGGAGAAAATGTAAAATTTGCAAATGAAATCAATGGAAACGCAATTGGATAATCCCTAATAAATCAAAATTCAACAATATTATCTAATAATTTGATTATCTTTTACATACTTTATTTATTTATTCAATTTTACATTTTTAGATAAAATGTCATCATAAATATAAGCATTGAACATTGGAAATTATTCAAAATACATATACAAATTATAATAAATGAGAAAGTAAATAATTTTATCTGTGCTGTATATCCATAAAAATCACAAACTAATTAAAATATTGCATCATAACACTTGTTATTCGCAGAGAATATTTTCAAGATGCCATCATTTCCCAAAGGAAAGATGTCATCTTTATAAGCGTAAAATTTTACACCGTGAAGCTTCCTGACCAAGTCTGTCGCCTGCAAACATTACTTCCGCTGTGACATTTTTTTATCCGTGGAGATAGGAAAAATGCACACCATCCGTTTTTTAATCCGATTTCGTTTATCGGAAAAGGTAGAAACTGCTGGCTGGCGCGAGTGTAAAAATTGTTCCGCCGAGCGGAAATGGCACACAGTCCAAATGTCGAAGAGGATTACGCGGCGCAAAGTTGCGTGGGGGTTCGTAAATTTTTCAACTTTTCGATCGTCGGGAAAGGCTGCGCTTAAGTTTCCCGAAAACTGCTATAGATTATTAAAAGAAGCGTATTTTTAACAAAGGCTTACATTGTAAAAGTGGATAACGATAAATAGTAGAAAGTTTTATTCCAATGTTCTAAATATATCTCAAGATTAATGTGATAAATTTTCGTTAGTTTATTTTCCACCACACAAGCGTTTCTTTGGAAAAATTGTATTATCTGTTCTCGCGATATGATAAAATGCGAACTATCTAATTGCGTCAATAGCTGCCTGAAAAAAATGTTTTAGCGTGGTTAATCGTGCGATTCCGTTCTGCGAGATCACAATTCGAGGAATTCAACTGGAAAGTGGCAACGAAGGATCACAAAGACTGTGAATTTTTCGATCGCATTCGCCGAACAACTTTAGCCTGATGTAAATCCGAGAATGCCGAGTCGACTTTACCGAAGGACTTGAAGGTCTTTCGCGATGAAGAGACGATGGTCGCGATTCTTATCGTTGATGTGAAAGCAGGAGTAAATAATTTACCTGGGGAACACTAATTCGATGGCGCCATCGAGGACTTTCTTTTGGTGCGAGTGCTCGCTTCCTCCCAATTCCATCCTTCAATCCTTGCCGTTCTTTTCGCTCGACTACTCGCGTCTGGGAATTCCCTTAATTCATTGTGCTTCCATCGACGTACTTTCGCCATCCCTCCCCGGACACTACCCGTCTAGCTGAAAGAGCAAAAGCACATCCAGGACTGTCGCATCGTGATTCGCCGGGTAAACGGAAGAGTAAATGATGTCGGACAATCGGTTGTGAGAACCGTTCCGAGTCGTAACGATCGATAGACGAAATCTCGGCATATTTGCAGGACTTGGATATCTTTGTTTAGACCGACTTTATTGTTAACCTGCCTTCCATTGAGTTGTTGAAAATTTGATCGTTGAGATGAATTAAGAAGTAAGAATTAGGAAATAAGAATTAGGAAATATCTACAATTCTCAATTAAATAATTTAATTCTGCAATGATTATAACGTTCGGAAAAATAACATTGAGAGCAATGTACTCAACTTACGGGGATGTGAAGTAAAACATGGTCAAGATTTCATTAAATAATTGAATAAAATTTTTCAAAAAGGTTATAGTATCTTCTATAAAAGTGACACATTTTGCGTTGTCATTTTTCATAAACTAAACAAATTTTTTATACAAAACATTTAAACAGTTTTGATGCTCGAAGTTTGAAAAAGAATTGTTTTATTTTAATTGATCAAAAGGTAAAATATAAACCGTATGTTTGTGATATTTTGAGTTACGTCACTTTTGTTGAATTATTCAAGGTTTGTTATAATAATTTTGTAAAATATAAAAATTGTCACAACTCAAAAAGATAATTCTTTAAGGATTGTAAAACGAAAATAAAATTGACAGATAAGTATTTGATCATGTTTCTAAGAATATGTTTTTTTTACCGATATTATTTATCAGTTAATAATTTTCTCTATTAAGTTGAAAAATAATTTTTCCTTTCTCTTAAAAAACTTAATTTTTTGAATTATGTCACTTTTAAAGTAAGGAAACGATATATAGAAGAGATCTTTATCGATATTCGGGTACATAGCATGAATAGTAACGCATTCGCCAATACGTGCCAAGAAATAAATAACGGAAAGAGTGTTCTAAAGTTTTCCATGTCGGATTTCAATTGCGGAACGTTTCAACCGCGTTATTGATAGCGTACAACACCTAATGTATAAAGCCACCAGCAAAGTACGCACGGCTGGTTTTCTCTGCAGAAGGTAGCCGAATGTGGCGGAACGACGTGCATAAGGTGCCATCCTGTGGAAAATTCTGGTCGAGCCGCGGCAGTGGGATGCTCGTAAGGTACGGCGAAATGTTGGAACGACCAGGAGCCGTTGCATTTTTATCCCGGATGGTGCCGACGCAGCAGATGAAAGCGGTTATGTCGGCTCTCTATTGCCGTCCTTTGTCTCCCTCTCCGTATCCAAGACGTTCCTTAACAGCCGCAGCGACTCCATCCCCCACGACCGCGTGGCCCCCTCCTTTCCGCCCTCGTCATCTTTTCCGCTTTTTCCTCTTTCGCGACCTCAAAGCCAGCTCTATTTTAGGTCATCCGAGGTATATTCAGGCACACTGGCGTACAACCAAATGCCATGATACTTCACCACCCCCGCTACAGCATGCCGTATAACGTGTTGTGCCGCATGGCGAATCCCTCTCGCTCTAATGTTATTGCCAAACCAACCTCTCGTCCCTCCCCCCGTGAACGCTGTATTATGCGGCTCTACATTCCGTTAAGAACCGTGGATTCCTCTGTGGTTCCGAGGTATTTTCTATCTCTGAAGAAAGTCTGATCGAGATTTAAATGGGATGATTATAATTGATTTTGATGTATATTTGTATTGCCGAACCAACCGGCACGTCCCTCCCCTCTTGAACGCTACATTATGCGGCTCTACATTCCGCTAAAAGCCGCGGATTTCTCTGTGGCTCTGAGATATTTTTCTCTCTGAAGCAAATCTGATCGAGATTTAAATGGGATTATTATAATCGATATTGATGTATCTTTACATTGCTTTTATTATATAAGAAAAAGTACATTTCTATGGAAATCAA